CCCTTCCTCCTCAGACAGCCAAAGAAGAGGCTGAAGGGTCCATCTGGCCCTACCCTTTGGATTGCCAGAACAGGAAACACAGGTCCAAGGAAAGGGCCTAGGCCCATGGCCAAAGAGCTTGACAGAGGAGAACCAACTGGAAATTTTACTCCCAGAGAGAGGTTAGAAAGGAAACAGGAACCTGTTGATAAACTCCCAAATGACAGAGATGACCCCGAGGAAGGACACTGGCAATGGCAGAGGCTTGGGACCACAAGGGCTGGAGGTACACATGGTTTGGGTTTGCATTTCACAGGCATGGGTTGTTGGATTCTCCCAACACTCTGCAGTATTAGTGCCTTTATTATGTCCATCTCACAGAGGGGAAAACTGAGGCCCAGAGAGGTTAGGCAGCCTGCCTAAGGTCATGCAGCTAGTAAGAGGCAGAGGAAAGGCTCTGAATGACCCCCAAAATCCATGTTCCAAATCACTTGATCTCTCTGCCTCCCATTCAATTTATTGCAGCAATAATTTCTGAGCACCCACTGAGCAGGAGGTTTTAAGCTGGCCACTCTGGGACTGTAAGAGACAGTCCTTGCCCTTGAAGAGTTTGCAATAAGTCAAGGAGGCAGAAACTCGAATAGGTAGAATACTAGGGAGAACAGGATAAACATTGGGAGCCTGCCTTGGATCCAACGCCGCTGTCACCACGTGGCTGTGCTTGTGATACCCTCCCTCCACCTCAGTTTTCAAATTTGTAAAGTGAGGCTATAACAGCAGCTGCTCCCTAGGGCTGCTGTGAGGACTAAAGGGGCTTAATTCATGACCTGAGATGATGCACAGGTGAACTCAATCAATCTCAACTGTCATGATCATCATAATAATTATAATTACTTGTAAAACTGGGACTCAGAACTGGGGGAGCTTCAAGGATGGAGTTTATTTCTGATGGGAGGACCAGGGATGACGGATGGGCAGGGTTCCTTCAAATCTCCAGGATGGGCCAGAGCACTGCAGGTGGGGAAAACTAGTCAGGTAGGGGCACACCTGGCATGTGCAGGAAGTGAGGGCCAGGCATGCGACAGGTGGGTGGAGTCACAAGCTGGAAAGGTCAGTTGGGGCTAGCTGGGGCATGGGAGTGGGCGGTAGAGGAGGCCTTGAATGTCAGCCTGGGAGGGTTGAACTCTGTAGGGCCCCATCAGAGCTGGGGCAGGGCAGGATGAGGAGCCTGGGAAGACGTGCCTCAGAGGGCAGAGCCCCAGCTGGTGCCGTCCTGATCACCCAATTATGCAAATATTCCAGCTGCGAGGTTATGAACACCTATTGGTTTGAAGAGGACAGGACTGGTGGGGAGACAGGGAAGCAGGGCTCAAATGTCCCCAAGGCCAGACATCCTCTCCTGCGAAATCACCTCTCTTCCTGGCCCAGAGGATAAAGCTGCTGTGGGAAGCTATCCTGGCTCTTGCTTCGGGGATCCTTCTCATCCCAGTGGAGACAGCCCGAACACTGGAGTCAGGTTCAAATCCCAACTGCATGACTTTGGGCAAATCACTTCTTCCCCTCTCAAAGTTCATCTCCAAGAGCCTCACCTATAAAATGAGGATAAATGCTCCTTCATGAGGTTGTGATGAGGCTAAAAGAGACAGCACCTATGACAGGGCCCAGTGCAGCGCTGCACACAGTAGTTGCTCACACCTCTCCTCTTTCCTTCTCTGACCCAAGGATGCCAGACAACGTGGCAAGCTGGACTTGCCTCTCCTTTTTCCTTCCCCCACAGTCCTTAATCTACACCCAGAGCCCTGGATGCTCCTGTTCCTCCCAGATGATCTTGATTCTTTTGTCTTCAAGCCCCAACCTTCCCTCTGCACCTCTGAGCTGCATAGTTTCTGGCAAGACCTGGCTGCTCTGTGCCTCCAGGGTCTCCCACTGGTCCACCGTGCACACTGCCCCAGAGTGCTCCGTCCACAGGGCAGATCCGACCAGGCTGCACTCGCCTGCTCATACTCATTCCTGGCTCCCCAGCATCTTCAGGATCAAACCCAAGCTCCTCAGGTGTGTGAGTGCATGTGTGTGTGTCCAAAGTCCTTGCTGAGCTGGTCAGGTCTCATTTTCCTATTTTGACCTCCCCACCCCATACCCTCCCCTCCAGCCACAACAAAACGCCATGTAAGTTCACCCACATGCCTATCCCTGGTCAGATAACCTGAGTTCAAGTTTTAGCTTCAACGACAGTGTCTTTGTGACATTAGGCATGGTTTCTTTCTTTTTCTTTTTTTTTTGAGTTGGAGTCTAACTCCAGGTTGGAGTGCAGTGGCACGCATGCTCACGGCCACCCCAGCGTAGACCTGCTGGGCTCTGGCAATCCTTCCACCTCAGCCTTCCAAGTAGCCAGAACTATAGGAGTGCACTACCACGCCCGGCTAATTTTTAAAATTTTATTGTAGAGATGATGTCACACCAAGTTGTTTGTTCGGGCTGGGCTTGAAACCACGGGCTCAGGCAATCCAATCGCCTTGGCCTCCCAAAGTGCTGGGATTACAGGCTGAGCCATCGAGCCCGGCCTTGGCATGGTCTCTTTAGAAAAAAAAAGTTTTTATTGAAGTAGAATATACATATATAATTTACCTTTTTTTTTTTTTTGAGTTGGAGTCTAACTCTGTTGCCCAGA